AAAAAAAAAAAGAAAACAAAAGTCAAAACAGCTTAGATCTAAGGACAGATCACTGTAAACTGGCCTAATTATGTCAAACACCCTTGAAAACTCCTAACAATAACCATGTTATTGATGGTTTTATCCACTTTCCCATAGAAAACCTGATGGGATTTTTAATTAAATCACAGTAAAATATCTGCTTTTCCAAAACTTTCGTTCAAATCAACAAAAAAGGAAGAAAAATCAGGGTTGTAAAATCCTTGGAAGAATTCTCGTACATTCAGCAGTCTTCCATGTCTGTTAGAGAGCAACACTGCACATCCCTTTCAATGCTCTAAAAAATAGATTTACAATCATATGTAATTATAGCCCATTTATGCTCCAAGGAAAAGACTAAGGAGGTGTCAAGCAGACACCTGCGAAGCCTATAATTTGGCTGCGCTCTGCCAGCAAATCTCTAAATCCAAATAAGCTTGAAAGTCAGGTCTCTTTTAAGGAAATTTATAGTAAATCTCTGGACAGTCATCCACAAAGCAAATGGTGACAGTGGAATGGTGGTGATCACTATCTTAAAATGCAGAGTAAATTGGCAGGCAGACTTCCTCAGGAAGGGACAGGAATGTAAAATATGAGTCCACTCATAATGAGATGAGGATTCTGGGAGATTCTAATATACATTAATTTGATCTGATAATGCACTATATTTATAAGACTTTATTAGGTCTTTTCAAATAAAAATGAGATATATTCCACTTCTTCCAAAGGAAAATATGAGATTAATAATTTTAGTCCTTTTTTGCACTTAAATAAATTATTTTTCATTCTGGAAAAAATGATATAGGTAGCAGAAAAACCCAGGGTTCACCCCAGATTACCAGATTCCCTCAAGGCCTTGGCTATATCCAGAAAGATTTCAATACATAGCTGGAAGACAGACAACCATACCTCTTATCTTCATACCACATTGTCAATTACAAGGTAAATCTCAGGACCTAACCTTGCCAGGTCTGGCTCTACATACTCCAGGGACTGGCTAAGGATTTCAAAAAGAGTTAGGATGTTCTAAAAACATCAAAAAACAAAACAAAACAAAATCCTCAAACTCAATTAGTTCTAACACAGTTTCTTTTTAAAAATAAAAATAAGAATAATGATGTGTAGGATTTGGTGGTGCATGCCTGTAATCGCAGTACTCTGGGAAGACAAGGTGGGAAGATCCAAGTTCAAAATCACAAGTTCAAGCCCAGTCTAGGCAACTTGGTGAAACGCTGCCAAAAAAAAAAAAAAAAAAAAAAACTTTGATGCAAAGTTCCTGGGTTCCATAAAGGGGATAGAATTTTCCTCTATCTATGGGAGCTAGAGATTGAAAAACTGAAGCAATAACTAGGGCATCAGAAGTTTGTGACTAGATCAGCAGAAGTTTGGGCACAGGCCAAGGAATCAGGTCTAATAATCATATTAGATTTAATCTTTTTTTTTCCAGTGCTAGAGATTGAACCCAGGGCCTTTCAAATACTAGGCAAGCACTCTACCACTGAGCTACATACAGGTGAATCATTTTATTCTTACTGGGCCATTTTATCACAAAAATAATGTCGCTTTTTTGAATCAAAAATATTTATAATTTATGCTGAAGCCACACTACTACATTAGTCATTTACAAACTTTTAAACAAAAGTATGAAGATATTTTTAATAGTCATCTCCAAAAAACTCTCGTTCTTTTAAGTGTTCCCTTATTCTGAAATGAAATACAGCTACTTGGGTTGTAGATCCTGTTACTTCAGTATTTTCATGGTATTTATGAGGACCATCATTTTTGCTATAAGAGAAACTATTATTTCATTCTTTGTGCTAATATATGTAACATACTTCTGTTATTGTTATATATATTTCTGTATATATAGCTTCATACATTAAACAATTCAATGGGAAATTACAGATATTAAGTTTATATGGCAAAAATCATATGGAATATTACTACATTTAAATGATACAGGAGAGAAAATATTAATTTTAGAAAGAAAACATAGCAATTTTATATACAGTGTAAAAAATACTACCATACCTTACTGGTACAACTCTTGCACCTGCAGACTCTAGATACTTCACATATGATGCAGCAATATAGTATTTTCCAAGACTTTTTATTTCTGAGTTTATGGTTTCTTGCATTACTACTCCTAAATTAAAAAAAAATAAAAGCTAGTTTTAAGAAATTTATTGCCAAGAAACTGAAACACATCAAAGTAAAAGCTTCATTCTTTCAATTCACAGAATTAAACAGGAAGTATTCCCTCAAGACCATCCATAGACTTTGGGAAAGTAGTAAAGGCTGATTGGAGTTTCAGATAACCTTCTGTCTCTCATCCAATCAGGGAAGCCAAATAAGCTCTCTAAGTAGATTTATAACAGCACCAGCATTTTGTAACCATAGGCCTAGAGTCCATTTCAGAGCAAAGACCCCTAAATCAAAAACATGGCCATTCCCTTCCCACACAACTCAGAGATACCACTGTTTCCCTGTAAGCAAAACAAAACAGTACTGATGTCTTCTGTCAACATCTCTCCAATACTACTCAAAGAAACAAGGAATTAATCTTGCCAACCCCATCCCAGATTATGAAAAGATCTCTGTCTTTTGTTGAGGAATCCTGCGATTCTAGTCTGTTTTCCACTTGGAAGAAAAGTTGATCATATCACTACTTTTTGTTCAACATTGTTGAACCATAATACGTGCCAAGCACTGAACTAGGTGTTGGGGACACAGGAATGAGGAAAACAACAACGCCTGCTGCGTAGGCTTTAATGGTAGCATTGGAAGAGAGAGAAGAGAGAGAAGAAAGAGGACAAACAACACACATAAAATGGTGCAATTATTATAGGGGGATGACTGCCAGTAAGTGCTAAAGAGAATAAGTAAAGCAAAAAAAGGATGTCCCATTTATAATCTCTTCAACAGGGTAGCCAACTGTAGTGGAAATTGTCCTCTGAGCCCTACCCACGGTAACACTATCTTGTGTACTCCTGGTCTAGCAGCTCAGTGGCCCCCAAGTTACACTCCCCACAACACAAGGTGCTAAACTGTTGCAGACTGCATCACAATAAAGTCTGTCACCACTGTGGCTAGACAGTGTTGAGACTGGTGGGACTTCCTGATAAGGATGAAATGAGGGTGGGGCATAGACTTTTCCCTAGCACCCTTCGTGCTCCTGATCCTGCTGATGCTGTCTTAATCAGTGCCCAATAAAACCAATAGCCTAACCTGGTGGGGGGGCAAATTTGTTAGTGCTGTATCCTATAAGTCATCTACTGGTCTATAAATAATCCCCAATAAAACCCAGCTACTTTCCAAGCTGGACTTTTTTAGTAGTTCTTTGGTCTGTCGACCCTTCTTAGTTTGGAGGCAAACATTTTTTTTTTAATGTCTCTCCACAAAATTTATGCAACATGTGGCTCCCAAAAGGGAACCAGACAGATAGAAAGATGAGTCAGGGAAGAACACCCATGGGAAACTTCCCAGGGTGGCCATCCTCTTCCATGTGGTAAGGGGTGATATGCCTCCTAGATGAATATGGCCCTCTGTGCAAGAATGGATGCCCCAAAATGCCTAACAGACTAGAGATATACACTGTAATCCATAAAGATAGTCCATGGGGGATGAGACTTTAGGAGAGGTGTAGCTGCTATTGCTCTCCCACCCCACAAGACTGCCTTCCAGATGAGTATGACACAACTGCATGTACATGGGTATGCCCTGAAAAGCCTAATGGACTACGGAGTATTCTGCAGTCCACATGGGAGAGGATTACAGGAGAGCTGTAGCTACTGTGGCATGACCACTCTCGTGGGCAGTAAGAGATGCTACAGAAGCTGACATATTTGTATCGGGAGAGAGCCTGGGACAGCCATTTTCCTCCACGTGAGGAGGGGTGATGGCTATTGAGGGCAATATACAGTACCCTGAAAGTGTCCCAAAGACTGACGAAAATAACTGTCATTTGCTAATGTAATGAGCAATATGATTTAAGGGGGAAAAACGGCTGGAAATGAGGTGGTTCCTCTTCACAGCGGCAGCAGCAGCAGCAGCAGTCTGAGCTCTAAGTCAAGCCTGTGCCACACAAGTACAGAAGAAAGAGAATGGGCACAAACCTGTTAATATGCCAGGAAACACCACTGGGAAAGTAGAGAAGGTGAAGGGCCTTGGCCACTGCACTAAGCTCAACCCAGACTTCAAATCCAAACTGGTGTGGGGTACACATCAGGTTGCAAACCTGGACTGCAGGTAGAAGTGGCTCTTTAGCCACCTGCAATCTGCACTGGGTCTAAACCTGAGGTGAATTCTAGTCTCAGGAAGCCAAGAGATGGGAACCAAAGCTCCTGGAAATTTGTGAAGAGTTAACAAAAGCCCACTGAGGTACACCTTGACTAATCAGTAAATTCAGTTTTGGATTCCAATTCAAGCTGGTATTTTTCTAATTGGCATGCCTAAAACATTTCTTGTTAATAGCTTTGGATAGTTCTTAAACTGTAATTACAGGGTAACTTTCTCTTCTTTTGCTTTCTTTCATTCAAGGTTATGTAAAGGCTTGAAACCCTAATTGGAATATAAACATCTCTGGGTTAACTCTTAGACCAGAGAAGTGAAGAAATAAAAAATAGTACCAGGAGCACTTTGAAATCCAAGTTTTTGCAAAAGGGAACCAGTAAGTACCACTGAGGAAGAGATGTTAATTTTTTAAAAAAGGAATGAGTATAGAGATATAACAGTAGAGGTGAAAAAGACTGCAGTTATACTAGGAGTGGGCAACTATCCTGTAAATACACTGTTTATATCTACCACTTTCAAGAGAACATAGTAGAGGTAAACATTGTGCTGGGGCATACCTTACAGAACACAGTGGAAAATCTCTGCCTGAGGTTATGGGTTGTAAAGGTACTGATACAGAGCTGTGCAAAATGGGAGCCTCACCCAGAGTACAACACATTGCAAATAGTACAGGCTAAGTGAAGGGCATAAAAAAATTGTTTGCCCAGCCCAAAGTACTTAGAGTAGTCCAGTATGGATGGTTTAAGAAAATAAAGCCAGAAGGCTCATCCATGCTGCTGTTTTGGATCCTGATAATGCTTTCTTTAGTATCCCCTTAACTGCTGAGCCCAAGGCCTAGCTTATATTCACCTAGAATGGACAGCAATGGACTTCCGAATGCTCCTTTATGGTCACTTGAGCAGCCCCAGCATTTATCAAGGGATAGCAGTCCATGACCTTGACTTGCTATTTTACCCACTCACTATGAAGATGTTTCATTACATAAATTACAGCATGCTAACCGCTCCGTGTCTTACAGACTTAGAAAAAAAATCTAGATGACATACAAGGTCTACCTGAAGGAGTGAAAATGGGAGGGTAATCTCCACAAGGTCTAAGGGCTTGGCAACACTATAAAAGTTTGGAGATTTTTATGGTTGGGTAAGACACATATGAACCTGGGAAGGTCACCGAGAAAATTCTGCAGCAGTCTGTACCAATAAAGTCAACACAATTACAATTTGCTTAGGACTCCTGGGGCACTGGTTTATTTTCATAGCCCACCTTGCTCACATTGCCTGTCTTCTTCATAACTTAATAAAAAGGACCACATAAGATTGGGATGAAAGGGTTCAAGAGACTGTTGAGCAAGCTATTCGTGGAGTAGGGCAAACAATTATATGTCCCAGTGTCCCAACACCCATTTGTTCTAGATGTTACCAGGGACCCTCAGGGCTACCATTTTCAGGTAGACAGAAACAACCTAAATAGTTCTAATACAGTTCTGGTCCCAATCATGGAAAAGGTTAAAAGCCTAAATACAGCATTTTAACCAAAATTGCTGTCTGTTTATAAAGCTCCGCATTGTGTGGAACCCATTAGTGGATCTATTTCAGTGACAATAAAAAGAGATATCCAATAAAGCATTGTTCTTTAGAAATTTTGGCCAAGCCTTTTCTGGGTGACACAAAATCTGACTTTGCAAAAATGGCAGGCATACTCAGACAAAGAAGTAAAAGCAGCAAGTAAATATATGAAAAAATGTTCCACATCACTGATCATTCGAGAGATGCAGATGAAAACAACACTGAGATTCCACCTCACCCCACAAAGAATGGCTGCTATGAAGAAATCACACAATAACAAATGTTGGCGGGGTTGTGGGGAGAAAGGAACCCTTCTCCATTGTTGGTGCGAGTGCAGACTGGTACAACCACTATGGAAATCAATATGGAGATACCTCAAAGAGCTTGGACTGGAGGTTCCATTTGACCCAGCCATCCCTCTGTTGGGTATCTTTCCAAAAGAACTAAAAGAATCATATCACAGAGAAGTATGCACACCCATGTTTATAGCGGCACAGTTTGTAATAGCTAAAACTTGGAAACAGCCTATTTGTCCATCAATTGGAAACTGGATAAAGAAGATGTGGTTTTTCTATAAAATGGAATATTCCTCAGCCATAAAGAATGAGAATATAGATTCATTCATAGGAAAATGGATACATATTGAAGATATACTCCTAAGTGAAATACATAAGGCACACATGTGTAAATACCGAATAGTTTCTCTGGTGTGAATAATCTGCAATAATGCATAAGATCCTAATAAGATTACTGACATTGAGAAATGGGAAGAAAGGAGCTAAAGGTGTAGGGAAGATGGGACGGGTAGGGGAAGGGTATAAAGGGAAAAGAAAAAAATGTGAGATGATGAAAAGATGGAAATAAAGTGGTTGTAGATGCGGAGCAGAGGAGGGGGTGAAGGGAGGGCTAAAGGGAAAAGAAAAAAATGTGAGATAATGAAAAGATGGAAATAAAGTGGTTGTAGATGCGGAGCGGAGGAGGGGGTGAAGAGAGGGAGGGACAAGGGTAAAAAATGAGAATCAAGACTTGTCACGGAGAGGTACAAGATCCCAACAATGAATGTAAATGTACTGTATCCCTAAAATGTACCAATAAACTCAATTAAAGCTGAAAAAAATGGCATGCATAGTTGCAGCACTAACCTCTGTGGATACTGCCATAGTCCTCTTGCAAGCATTCACCTGTAAATGAGCCACTGGAGGCAACAAATTAGAAGCCTTACTCAGCTCAGGGTTATGTCCAGGTACCCATGGAGGAATGATGATGACAGGGAATCCTTTTCACAAACACTGATGTGCAAAATTGAGTTGAGGGCAATCAAGTACAATACTTTCACCTGCCTTACAATCCCACAAGTGCTGGTTTGATTAGAAAAACAAAATGGGTCAGTAAAGTAATTATTAAAGGATTAACAATTTCTACGTGGGTAGAAAAAGAAGTACTTCCAGAAACCATAAACTGAGACTAAGCTGGGATGATCTTCCCCACTAGCTAACACTCCTAGGGCCAAAGGATATTATGTGCAGGCTGCCTGAGAATCATCACCAGAAAGTTCAGTGATGACAAACCTTTTAGACATCAAGTGCCTAAACTGCAACCCAAAAGCTTACTTATTTATTGGCAAGTGCCAACTATGTAATTATAGCTAAATATCCAATGCTTGGCTGCTGGGGTGACTTGGCTCACATGCCAACAGAAAAGGCTCTATGTGCCCACAGTGGCATGCACGCTATAGGTTGTCACTGTCACATGTTACACTATATGACAGGCAGTATGTGCCTGCCAGTGCCATAGTGGTATGACTGGTCTGGGTGCAACCAACCACTTACTGATATGTCTGCTCCAAAGGAGACCTGCATTTGGTACTGCAAGCTAGGACAAAGACCTGTAGTTTTTGAAGTCAGGCCCCAGGGGAAAAGCCACTGCTACTGTTCTGTTAAATGTATATGATGTGCCAGTAAAACTGCAGTCTAAACATTTCTATCTTTGCCCACAGATTACTGCTGCTGCCATTCTCAGCAAGAGAATCTCTTCTTGCAGTGAGCAGCGACCAAAGGTGAAAACCCACAAGAAGTCCACCCACCGGATATGTGGTAAACTTTTCTCCAGTGAAGCAGGCACACCCTGAAATGTGCTACCTTTGTGTTCCCATAAGTGGAATAACTCTATGGGACCCTTGAACCAAGATGGAGCCTTATACACTTTACTGAGGACATATACTCTCAACTGTGTCATTCTAGGAGTGAACGCCTATTGCCGCAGTCTTTATTGCTGCTGGGATATAACAGCCTCAGTCAAAGGAGATAACATCTCGTCCAAGGCTCATGAGACACTGTGAGGGTGGGGGTTTAAAGTGGGGGTGGTATTTTGAGAGAGGAAGGGAGGAATGGAGGGATAACTGTACACAGCCCTCCAGCAGATCCTAGCCAAAGTAACTCTATCTTGTGGTGCACCTCTCCTGGTCTAGCTGTTCAGTGGGGCCCCAGCTACACCCCTGACAACACCAGGTGCCAGACCGCCAGACTGCAGCACAAGTCATTCATCACTGTGGCTAGACAATGCTTACTGAGGTTGGCAGAATTTCCTGATAAGGATCAAATGAGGGTGGAGCACACACAACTTTCCCCAAAGACCCTTCTTGCTCTCTCTTGATCCTGCTTTTGCTTTCTTAATCAGTGTCCCATAAAACCAACAGCCAAGCACAGTGAGGTGGGCAAATTCATTAGAGTTGCAGCCTACAAGTCATCCACTGCTCTGTAAGTAACACCTAACAAACTCAGTTACTTGCCAAGCTGGACTTGTCCAAGCAGTTCTTTGGTTTTGTCAGCCCCTCTTAATTCAGAGGCAGATGTTTCTTCGACATCTCTTGAGGAAATTTACGCAACACTAGGCAAGTCCTCTCTGAAAAGGTGTAAGACGGCATTTGAGCTAGAACTTCAGCTAGGTGAGGGAGTAAGCCACATGCAGATTTCTGGCAGGCCAGCAATCCAGAATGAGGAAAATGCAAATGCGAAATTCATGAGTCAGCCTGTCGTACTGTAAGGAATTCACTTGACTAGAGACATGTAAGGAAAAGGAGAAAACAAGGGAAAAGATATTCAGCAAATCACCACCTTGTTTAAGCACTATAGTGGTTTCCTGAACTTTAAAAAAACTTCCTAAGACCCTCATCTCTTCATCAACCCATCTCTCTGGGTTTCTCTTATCAATGAAATTTGAGGCAGGCCCAGCACAGGGCTGGCATCCAGTATATATCAAAATATGTCAGAATGTGTGAAGCTGTAGTTTCAATCACCAGAACAACAACAAAAAGTCTGCCCAGTGAGCACCTGTGCCTGTATCATTCTTTCATTTGGTGTACTTTTAGTATTTCCATAGGTCACCTGAAAGGAAGAGCCTGTCATTTGTATTCTGAGCTTCTTACAATAACTAGTATGTAGCACGTTCTCAGCTAACATATGTCAAATGTCAAAATATGTTCAGACAGCTGTTTTTCTTTCTGCTGGTAGGTAAGAGGACCTTCACCAAGGAAGATGAAGTTTACCTAGGGAAAAAAGAATTGGAAAAAGATGCTGCAAGAAGTGGAGTAGTACAGGGCACACTGAGGAGGAGCCATGAAGGAGTACACAGGTCACCACAGGAACACAAGGTGCAGTAAACAGAAAAGTATATGAAATTGCACCAACACCTCACCCCACCCCCTGATCCACCACACCCTGTAATTACTTTTCCTATCCCCTGTAAAAAACTCAGGCTATAGTTTCTGTTCATCAATACCTGGCAAAAATCTCGTACATACTTCCACTTTTATAGTTTCCTTGCCTTTGATTCCTATACACTTCCTAAAGTAATGCTTTCATATTCTGGTGTTTGGTCAACTACTTTACCTTAATTTATCACGGTGACCAAAACCAGAGTCCTATTCTCTATATTTTACCTAGGGCTACCCCAATTCCACAAAAGAAAAATAAATATCTTTTCTTTCATTTTTTTCTCCTCCTTGGAACACACATAAGTCGCAATTCAGTACATATAATTATATTATTCTCCTTGAAGAACCTAAACATCATTGTTCATACTTATGGAATAAGCTATTCCAGGTTCCAAATATTAGTATACAGCCCATTTGAAAACTATGTGCAAAATACACATGAAAAAATGGTCAACTAGTTTCTGTTTGGTTACAGAATACAGTGTTCATTTCATGAAAGAAAATATAGTATGAATTCAGTAATCCTATACAGGGTTAGATAAAACCAATACTAACTGTCCACAAAGAAATTTCTTTTGGGATGTTTCAATCCCAGGCTTATTTTTCCTAGATAGATTTTCCAGCCCTATCTCAAATGTCTGTTCTGTTAATGCAAACTGATTTTTATATTGTTTTCAAAGCATAAATGTAGGGCCAGGGATTTAGCTCAGTGGTGCCACAGCCTGCCTCTCAAGTGCAAGGTCCTGAGTTGGATCCCCAGTACCAAAACAAAACATAAATGTAATAAAAACAAACAATCATTTTTCATTTTAACATTAAACAGAATTGATATTAGGATCATATTGGGCACTGCTGATGATTAAACCGACAAAGTCCAAGTTACAGTACAGTTTAATTTCTTGATTATCTAATCTGTTTCATTTTTATGTATAACGCACTCAATGCACTCTCAAGGAATGTTGATAAATATAATACATGTATGGAATCTCTCTATGTAAACCAGTAGAAATTCCTAGTCAAGTAAATTTTTTTTTAGTGGAAATGCCTAGCTATGTACATAAAATAAAATCAGTATAAATCTTAAAAGTGTACCCCACTACTTCCCAACTTTAAGAACCAGAGTATAAGAGTCCAAGAAAACCACCTAGACGTCAACTTCATTTCAGTATGATCCAAAAAGTGTCTATCAGAGTTATTATCTGTACTGGAAACGGAGGTCCATAACTGCAGGGACAAGTGGCGTCCTGCGGTGGCACCCAGCTGCCCACTCAGCTGTGGCCCCTCCCGGCCTTCTTACCAATGATGGGTTTCTCGGTGGTGGGTCTGCCGGGTCCGGGCATCCCGAGGCTCGGCGTCCCAGAGAGCAGCAGGCCCACCACGCACAGCAGGCAGCCCAGAATCGCCATCGCCGTCTTCTGGCCTTCTCCCGCCGTGGGTCCAAGGCAGCGGGGCGG